AAAATGAACGAATGTAACAGCAGTATCCCTAATCCAGATGTTTCAGCGTCATTAAACAGTTTCTATGGGATAATAAATTTCAATGAATTTTGCAGCGTGGCGTACATGTGATGAAAAATATTTTTCTGTCTTTTTGCCAAAATGATTTGCTTTTTGGTAAAAATATTCCTATTATTATATGAACTGTATAAATTATAATATATATTAAATCTTATTAATATTTATTAAATCACTTTATAATGTTTTAATAATATTTTTTTTAAGCGAATCATAATTTTCAAATTATCAAACACTTCCTATTAATAGTAGTTTAAAAGTCCAATCATTATAAACCTTCGTACAAAAATAAAACTAAAATTTAATCATGATTGCCATAAATGTCAGTTGAACTTAAAATAGACATAATCTTAAAAAAATAATATATTAAACCCGGCGGCAAAAGCTTATTAATTGCATCGCACACAATCTAATATAAGCTTAATACAACCTTAAAATTTATATTAATATTAATGGTAATAATGTACACTTGCTTGCAACAAAATCGCGTACACTTCAGTTGTCGCAAATAATGAGCTGTGTAAATGTGTCTTTTTTTAAATTTTGATTTTTCAAATTGATGTTTATTTATTTGTCAGTGTCAGTGTCATATTATCACAATGGAAAAATTAAATGAACGCCAGAAAATTTAAATCCTCTCGAAGTTGGAAGAAGGATGGTCCATCAGGGCAGTTACGAACCATTACGATGTTAATAAAAGTACCATAATGAGGGTGAAGAAAAGGTGGATGGAGGAAGAAAGCGTATGCAGAAAAGATGGTTCGGGCCGCTCGAGAAAATCTAATGTCGATCAGGGTGAAGCGCTTATTGCCTATTTAAGGGAAAATCCATTTAAAACCGCAAGAGATGCCGTGTTCGAAACTAACTTTCCAGCGTCGTGGTCAACAGCATGCCGGAGAATAGGAAACTCTGATATCAAGAATTGGGCAAGTGCCAAGAAGAGCATCCTAACAGAAGAACAAAAGCAAGCCCGGATCTTGTTTTGCTTAAATTATGCCTTAGATTCTTGGAATAATGTTGTATTTACTGACGAAAAAGTTTTCCAGTCTAGTAATGAGGGACATACTCATGTATATCGACCTGCAAATTCCAGGTTTCATGAAAAATACGTGTCTCCACGGAACAGGTCCGGACGATTCTCAGTTAATGTTTGGGCATGGATAAGCGTGCATGGACCTGGTGTAGCATGGCGTTTGGTTGGTAGACTCAATGGGCAGGTTTACAGGGATATTTTGCTAATAATATTGAACTATTACCGTGGCCTTCTTATAGTCCAGATCTAAACACAATTAAAAACGTTTGGGGTTTGCTAGTGAAACAAATTTATAACCGAAACTTTAGGCCAAGAAATGAAGAAGAACTATGGATGGCTATTGAAGGTGGTTGGGAGGAGCTCAGAGAAAACGAAAACTATTTTCGTACACTAATTAATTCTATGCCCACAAGACTCAATCATATCCATAGGTGACCGAAGGAAGCTAATGGAGCCATAACAAAATATTAGGTCTAGTTTGAGCCATAGAATAAGTTAGAGCAATATATATTTTTAATTTTTATTTATATTTGTGACAACTAGGTTACTTAATATTAAAAATGTACACGATTTTGTTGCTGTTAGTTTATAACCTCGTTTATAACCTATTTAAAATAAAAAGTCAAAATAACATGTATAAAGAAAATGTCACTTAGTTTATAACCTATTTGAAATAAAAAGTTAAAATTTAAAAAAATACACATTTACACAGCACAATATTTGTAACAACTAGGTTATTTGATTTTTGAAGTGTACGCGATTTTGTTGCAAGCAAGTGTACTATTAATATTTACTAGTTTTTTTATTTGTGCGTATATTCTTTAGAATTTTTAGCAGCGCCGGATTATAAAAATTTGCGCCCCGGGTCTAATAAAAATTTTCCGCCCCTACCTATATAATAAATTCAAAGAAATGTCACTTCTTAACAAAAGGATTTATTTAACCATAAACATTAGGGTTGTAGTATTTTTTCGAAATTTTTTTGATTTTGGAGATCAAATAAAAAAAATAAGTCTAAAGTATTTGAGTTTCAACAGATAAAAAAATTTTAGACGTCGCTCAAAACTTTTTTAAACCAACCTTTTTTCTCAAAATCTTTGGCTTCTCACTATTTTTTTTGTAGGTCGTATAGGAACAGAATACATTTTTAAGTAAAAATATTATTGGTCGCTCAATATTTTTGAAAAACATTTCTTGATTTTTTTAATAATTTTGATCTTGTAACCACTACTATTTTTCCAATTTAGTTGATTTTTTTGAGCGACGTTTATTTTTTTTTGAGTTGAAACTTGAATACTTTAAACTTAAATTGTTTCATGTGAGCTCCGAAATAAAAAAAAATGTCGAAAAAATATTGCCACCCTAAAAACATAAACAAAAACTATATAAAAGACAAATACCTAAATAAGAAAATTAACATTTTGCCAACTCAACTTTGCGTGCTTTTAGAGAAGCAAATTTGTTTATCGCAATATTGACGTCATCTTTCAATAGGCTAATACCTATACTGTATATATACATACATATATATATATATATATATATGACTGGTACTGTATATAACTATAGTTTTAAACTAATTTAAATTAATAGTTGTTCGTAGTGTAATAAAATATTCTTATATTGAAAAACCTTTACGCCCATACGCATCGCATCGGTGGAAATAATCAATTTCTGCAAACTAAAGTTCTTGTCGCCCAACAACTTGTCGGGCGCCCTACGTAATACGTGACATGACATATTTCGTATACTATGCATAGATAATAATACTATGGCAACAATCACGGTTATAATTTAAATAATTTTTTTATTAAAACTGATTAATACACGAAAAATAAAAAAAGGGGAAAACCCTTTAGGTTGTAGTAAAAAACAAAAATTACCAGTCAAAAATTTTGCGCCCCCTGTAAGCTTGCGCCCCGGGTCTATAGACCCCCAAAGACCCCCCTAAATCCGGCGCTGATTTTTAGTATCATTAATTTGTATTCATTTTTTAAATATTTATATTTTTTTAAAAATTATAATATTTATAAATATAAAGTTTTGTGATTCGTGCGTTTCGCTCTCTTGAAATGGCCCAAATATTATTTATAGTTAATTTGGGCAAACAAATATTTTAGTTGGGTCCCCTCTTAAAAGCTTACAAGTAAGTAAAAAACAATCAAGCGTACTCAAAATATTATTTATCATAACGTTAATCACAGAGGCAGACTAAATTAAATATTAAAAAAAAAACAAAAGGAATTTTAAATTTCGTTTTTTAAGAAAAGAGGCCGTGTTCAATTTAAATGTGATTTATTTATTATATATGAAAATTTATTTAATAGTCGAATTTCTCTCATTTTGGTCAACTTAAATTTAACGACCCCTTAATGCAACATCATTTTGCTCTAGATTGCATAATAGCACTAGGGAAAATCTAGGTCTTTTTTATTTATAAAAATAAACTGCTAAAATTTTGTGCATATATAGAGTATATTGCGAGGCTTTAAATTAATTGTTCTTTATTTGAATCTTTAAATAAAAAACAATTAATTTAAAGCCTCACAATCTACTCTATTCTAAGTTTACTCCGGAATTAGCAACTAGCAGCTAATTTTTATAGATGTTTCTGCTGAATAGGTACCTATAGGACTATAGTCTAAAAATCAACATTAAATTTAAAGAACCGGTAAACGTCAAAAGCGCCGGCAAACTTTAAGGGAACAACAAAAAAATAAAAGTTGTCTGTTTTTTTTAAATTGGATATTTTAAGGTACCTGAGCCGGGCTATGTGCTCTACCAAGATCACCAGATCTAACACTTATACACTTTTTCCTATGGGGAAATCTAAAAAACATGTTGAGTTTTAAACAAAATAACTGCAGAAATTAAGAGCATAACACCGGTAGTTTTAAACAGAGTGAGAGAACAATTTCACAGTAGATTACATAAGTGTCAGCAAGTGAATGGGAAACATTTCCAACATTTATAAGATTCAAGAAAAGTTTATTTTTTATTTATTGTTAAAATTTTAATTTTAAAATAAATTTTCCACCCTATATTGAAAACTATGATTACAAAAAAAATGTGCACTATCAATTTTCGATGAAAAAAGTGAGGTTGTTATTTAAGATAAATGTGTATAATGTGGTAGGGGGAAAATGGTGGAAGCAAACAATTTAAAATTATAATAATAATTTTAAATTGTTTGCCCTCATCATTTTTAATAACAACCTTTTTCATAATTATTTTATTATAATTATGAGATTTTTAGTAAAAAACTAAAGTTTACGTGTTAGATCATTTTTCATAAAAATCATCGAAAACCGAATTTTAGTCCATAAGTTATAACCAGACTAAATTAAAAAATTAATTTGATTGAGCGAATATTTGTTTTATTTATTTTACGAATTTAAATTAACTGTAATATAATTGAAAATAATTTTTTTTCGCAGAAGCTTCGTGTTGTGTCATGTTGTGCGAATTTGTCGAAACCATATACTATTGTGGGCTTTAAAATCTTGAAATTCTGAAAAAATCTTGTTATATTATCTCTTCCCACAAAAGCCTGTTAATTGCTTGGATGTCCTGTAGGCTTCTGATAAAGGGTAGAATTTGAAGCTTCAAATATTCTGATCTACAACCTTATTGCTCATTCCCTGGGACACTAATTTTAATTCGACCGGTGGTTGATATTCAGGCAGAGCCTTTCAACGATGAATAGGAAACGTTCAGAAAAAAGACATTAACGGAAAAAGTGGGGAATATAAAAGCCTTGATAAAATGGAGATTTTTTATCAATTATGTGCCAGATTCTGAGAAAATATTTATTTGGAGACAGTCTTGGAATTGATATTTTTCTCATTTATACTACTTTTTAATTTCTTTATTTGTAATGTTTCCATACAACAAATATTATTTTTCTTAGATAAATACTACTTCATCGGCCATGCCCAAGCAAATAATGAATTTAAAACCGTTCATCTTTATGGTTCTTCCAATATAACATTTAATAATTATAATATTATATATATAACATTTAATAATTAACAATTATTGTCTATTATCTAAAAAAATTAAATAGTTAAAATTTTACTATTTGAATTAGTAACACCATTATAACAAAATAAGTCAATTTTACTTTTAAATAGTTACTTTTTACTACTTAAATAGTTAAGTTTTACTAATTTAATATTAGTCACCAACTTTGGCTGTTTATGAGAGTTAAAATTTGCCAATTTCTTTAGTCCTTTTGAATTCTTTTACTAGCTCCAATAATTGCCTAAAAGTTGTTTCATCCATACGCAGGTAATTTTTAAAATCGTCAGGATCATCTTCTAACAATTGTCTTAAAAGCGGCATATGATTCAGCTCTTTTCTCAGTAACCATGTTTTGACCCATTTCGTGCGATTTCTTGTTTTTCTTCTTTTTTTAATTATTATGTATCCCATCAGCATTTTCGTTCATCTTTAATTTTTAAAGCCAAATTCAAAATCCCGAAAACACCATTAAACGTCAAATTGGTCTTATTTTTGCCGAAAAATCACCGATGACAGATAATTTGATCAAATTTGACCAATTATTCGTTGAAAACAGCATACATGTAGCAATAAATTTGACCGATTAATTTGAACAGAAATATTGCTCAAATAAAACTTTGCGTCAGTGGATCATGTACGATTTATCTTTGAGATTTTTTGCAACAATTTATTTAACGATTATTTGGTACAATTTATTGGTCGACAAATTGTTCCGTGTATATGCAGTATAGGTATTCAAATATGTAAATTTTATTAAAAAGCGGCATAACGCAGCGTTTAGACATCCGCCTGACAACCGAGACACTCGAGTTCAAATCTGGGCAGTTACAACTTTTTTTAAATTTAAATCTACTAATTTGTATGTTTTATTAAATAGAATTTGACTATAGTCAAATTATAATTATTAGTGACTGCTTTTTTTCTATGACAATTATTCAAACATTACTTTAAATAAGTTATTCTTGACTAATTCATTTTAAGAGTAGGCAGTATAATATAACAAATATATTATTTTGTAAAACATTTTAAATGTTTATATAAATTTAATAACAAGTATTTTCCTCGATTTTTTTTAGCCCTTATACTGTCTTTAAACAGTTTAATGGCTTAAACTAGAACTTACGTCTCTGATACTATTAAGTTAAAAGATTAATTAATATGATTAAAAATTCGTGTAATAAAAGCGTAATAAGCCTAAAAATTGTTGGTAGCCTGATAAAATTAGTCAATTTAAAATCTAAAAAAATAAGTTAATCTAGATAAAGCAACGGCCATGTATACGTACATATCTGACAGTGTATGGCAGCAGAACTGTTTGGTAAACGGGCGTATTGTTATCTGTTGGCAATGCATTGTGTTCGGCTTGTTCCCACGTCTGGTATCTGCTTGTAGATAATTTCGTACAATAAAATGACAGTCTCGCGTACATCAGGATTTCCTCTAATTCGAGAACAAACAGCGAGCCGTGTTTGTTATACCAAAACGGAATAAACTTATCTTTTGACTCGCATCGATGATCAGACAAATCAGTTGTAATGCAGACAGTATGCTAATGCCACCACACGTAATGCCTGGATTTATTCCTCCTGCTGTTCACGAAGAAAAAGGAGATGTTTTGCAGGAATTCTACATGCTTAAGCTAATACGCGAGTCGTGATTCCAATTTGTTATTTTCTCAATTTTTTTATACACACTGAAATAAACATAAAATCGTAAAAAATGCCCTCCCTTGGTATATTTTGCAGAAAGTTTGGTAAATTGAGCCTTTGTATTTACTTACTCTACGATGTTATAAGTAATTTAGCTATTTATTCATGTTAATATGTACAGTTACATTTACACAAGTCAAGGAAAAGATACAAATTAAAAAAAAAATTTATATGTTAAAAGAAATTATACAATACAAAAATTTAAAATTTATGGTAGGACATATACATCAAATATTTGATCATAGATCTAAAATAATAACATTATGCAGGGAAAAAAACAAGTAATAATTTTAATATTAAAATTTACAAAGACAGGTCACATGTTAAAAATTCGTTTAAACAATAAAACGCTTTAGTCAGTAAAAGTTTCTTAAGACGTGCTTTAAATTGTTTTAGGGGTAACTTTTTTATTTCATTCGGAAGTCTATTATAGAAATTAGGAGCAAAGTAATTTGACGCATCCCTAGATCTATTTATCCTATGAAATTCAATATGGATATTATTCCTACTTCTTGTTTGATAATGGTGTATGTTGTTTTGTGTAGTATAAATATTGATATTTGATTTTACATATACCAAGGCATTTAATAAATATTGAAAAGGGACAGTTAAAACGTTTAAATCTTTAAACGATTGACGACAATCAGCTCTATAATTTAGATTACAAATAATTCTTATTACCCTCCTTTGAATCGAGAATACTTCAGCAGCTCTAGGAGAGTGACCCCAGATTAGAATGCCATAGGACAAAATGGAGTGAACTAGTCCAAAGTATGCATTCACTAGAGTACCCTGAGAAACAGATTCCCTTAGTTTTCTAAAGAGAAACATTTTTTTGGACAAGGTTTTACAGACCGACTCAATATGTGTTGCAAAGGAAAGCCTTGAATCAAGGTGAATCCCCAAGAATTTAACACTATTTTGTTCAGTCTTGCAGTGATTTTTTAGGGTAAATGTAATTTTGACAGTTTTATCCGAGTTAAGACAAAGCTTATTTGCCCTAAACCACGATTCAACATCCAGCCGCGCACCCATGATATCCTCTTCAAGAACCTCAAAATTTTTATATATTTTTTTTTTATTTTATATATTTTACTTTGTATAAAATATATGTAATCGAACGAAAACTGCAGTCCAAAATTTAATGTTAACCGATTAAATTATCTCACAGTTAACAGTTAATTAACCAGTTACTAATATAACTTAAATTAAATTGAATTAAAACTTTTTTTAGATTTTATATTATGAATAAGAAATATGAAAACTTGAAACTTTTTGGAATGTATTTGTGCTCAGCAACTCGCACAAAATCGTATTTTTATATTTAATAGTCCATATATGACAGGTTAACCACAATACCCTTCAATTCGCATAGCATTGAACAGTTTATTCATTTATTCAATATAAAATGTTTGCTTTTTTGTAGCATTTTATGTGTCAAATCAAGACGGCTTTCTTTGCTACCCTCCCAATAAATTACAGTAGTTGCAAGAGTTTTAATACTATTCAAGGGTATTAAATTTAATAACTTAGTTATAAAAAACTGTTTAATATATCGATGACTTTATGCCAAAGTATCGCAAGCAACATAACTCAAATTTTGGGAATTGAAAACATTATTGTCTTAAAGTCTGTTTTAAATTAAATATAGCCTAAAGGATTTATAACAAGTAAATAGCTATAATTATAAGCCATTTACTTGTTATAAATCCTTTAGGCTATATTTAATTTAAAACAGACTTTAAGACAATAATGTTTTCAATTCCCGAAATTTGAGTTATGTTGCTTGCGATACTTTGGCAGAAAGTCATCGATATAATTTTGTTTTGCTTAGCAACACGAGATACGTATTTTCAATGCCTATATTATAGTTTACATTTTTAAAATTTTTCTGTGAATCACTTAAAGTTCCCGAAGAACCCGTGTTTTACAGAGTTTTGGACCACCCTGTATAACATTCTTAAAACTGAGTATATAATATTCTTTACATTTATAATATACCTAACATTCTAATATTGAATATTTCTTATTAAAATGTTCTGTACATAAACAATTTTAATAGTATATTATTATACGAGCATATAATGAGGGCTATTATTCACGAAGGTTAAGTTTATGTCACGAGCGTAGCGAGTGGCATAATTAACCTTAGTGAATAATAGCTCATTATATGTGAGTAGAATACTATGCTTTGTCCACGACTACTATTGACTTTTAACGGATTTTAATGCAAAAAAATTTATATTTATTATAACCTATTTGACATTAACAAAACCAAAAATTAAAGATGCCTGTGACTATTTTTAAAACTATTTATTTATATTAATTGTAATATATATATATATATATATATATATATATATATATAAAATATACCAGTAAAACAGACTTTGAGAATGAATTAATTTTCTTGGTCGCTCTCCAGTCCATAAAGGTGTTGTACACAGATACGTACAAATTTTGGGATTTCTCAGGCAACAAATTCAGGGAAGTGACTTTTGGAGCTTCTGTTATCTCCGGTGGAGTACACAATATATCTTCTTCACTATCAATTTCCATTGTTAACGTATTTTTGAAAGCAAATTATAATTTTAACAGGAATTATTATTGCACCACCGCGGTGCACCGCGTCGTTAAAATTTGACGTTTCAAATAATTATTAGTTGTCAGTTGATTACATGGCTTACTACCTACTTGATAATTCTATTATTTATAGATTATCCAGTATTTTATTTCCAATGAATGTGATTTTTTAGGTAATTCGTATTTTGAAAAGTGACTTCTGTGATGTTTTGTTGAGTGCGTAACATCTCTTCATCTTTCACGCTTTGATTTTTTATGTATAATTTAAGATTAATAATAATTTGTAACAAAAATCGTGTGCTGAATCGAAGTTATGACGTTTCAAATTGACAGCAATTTATGCTAAGCTTGTCATGTCATGTCAATGGCTTACTTACTTGAAATAGTCTACTTAATGTTAAATTTTTATTCAATTGCATTAAAAAAACATATTAAAGTAATACTTTAACAAGACTTTTATGATTGGTATAAAGTTAGATAATTAAAGTGCCTGGCTATAATTGCCTAGACGAACTTATAAGTGCTTGCCAGATACAATCTATATCGTGTGTCCTATAGGAACTCTAGACCAGTGAATAATGATTATTCACTGCTATTATTCACTCTGTGAAATATGACTATCATTTTGCTTTAGAAAACTCATTCATAAAGTATATATTATAAGGTAGTCGTG